GATTCTCTCCCCCATCCCACTGGGGTAGGGGGAGTGAATGAGTGGCTGCATGGTGCTTAGTTGCTGGCTGGGGGTAAACCATGACACTATGGAAAAGTAATCTATTTTCAGGTGAAATCCTTTATTTCCTGTTACCTTTCCAAATCTATAGGTCTGAAAAAGAAAATTGTTTTACTGTCCTCAGCAAGCCTTTTAAATTCTATTATTTTGTAACGGTCTTGATTATTTGTCATTTATGTGCTCTCTGTATTCAGAGGCTCGTGAAAGAGAGAAGGAAGAACAGGCTGAAAAAGAGTTTAGAAGTCCATGCATTGATTCATCAGCTTCAGCATCCAGTGCAACAGGAGCTGGGTCCACAGTAACCCAAAGGTACTTAGATATGGTGGGAGATTCCATGTAACAGCTTTCTTATCTGAAGAGAGGGTTGGGGGAGGGCGAGGGTGAGAACGTGTTTATGTTACCTGAAGTATTCCAGTGGAAATTCTGATTTTAAAAATTTTTTTTTTAGCTATTCCTTAAAGATGTGTCAATATTTGTAAACATTGACATTATGTGTATTTAACAGTTAATTTTGCAGTCTCCTCTCAGATCCTGTTCAGCATACTTTTTTTTGAAATAACAATGTTGTTATCTGTGGATTTTTTGAAAATACCTACATGTGCTGACTCAATGAGCAGCTATTGTTCCCACCTATAGCTAGAATATACTTGTTCATGCCTGCTGAAAAAGGCGTCAAAGTAGGTGGAGAGCCTCTGTATGCACATTGTATAGAGTGGTGGCAGGGTTGAGAAAGTATTTTGTTTTGACTTCAGTCTGAAATTGATTTTTAAACTTGCCAGTGTTTGTTTGTTATTGACAAACAATAAATGCTACTGCTTTGACAGTTTAAATTCTGAAAAGCTGGGAAGTCAAAAGTAGCTGAAGGTAAAGGGAGGTACACAATTCCATTGCTTGGCAGGGATTGCAGAGATCAGTGCACTGTAAATTTTTAGGTTTCTATATCTGTGGAAGTCTAATAACCCATACAAGACTCTAGCAGACCTGTATATATGTATCTTATGGTTTGACAGGGTCTGTATGTGGTAGGTTATTATAGACAAACTTGTAGTGTTTCAGACTGTGAACGAATTTCTGTTACAAAATTTACTTTTTGCCTGTTGCTCTATGGAAAACTCAAATGAGCCGTGCACTCCCACTGAAATAACTGATCGCACAGTATAATACCCTATAGATCTTGTGTTACGTCTTGTGCACAAGGGAAAAATATTCTGTGCTCCTATTTGCTTTTGATGATCTTAAATACCAATCTGGTGAAATAATGAAAGATCACAAGAATTTAAATGTAACATGATTGTGTACTGTATATGGGTGACTTCAATATAAAGAATCAATTAAAACAAACGGTAAGGTTGAAAGCGGTCAGGTGATAAAGAGCCTTTCCCTAATCATCTCATTTTGCTAATATACTTGAAGAGAAGAGAACTCCGGGGGCTTTGTATAAAGGAAGACAACAAATACCTTTCAGTATTCTGACTTACGAGGCTCTGGTAACTTACCAGAGTTTTGCTGATACTAAGTTTTCTTTGTTTTTCTTTTTTTTTTTTTACCAAACATTGAGAAGGGAGGGCATGGCATGAAAAGCTCTCCTGGAAGTTTTGTATTTCCTTGTAAAATATGATATGTAGCTTAGCACTTAGCGCTAAAAACAGGAAGCTAGTGAAGGAGTCAAGCCATTGTGACTCAGCCTTAATTCAGAGGAACAATCCTACAACTGAAAATTTAAGTCTGAAATATAGGACTCTCAATAGTTCTTTTTATAATGTAGACTTTAGTTAGTATAAACTGATCTAATATATATATAGCTTGTTCTGTTCTCTGAAGATGGCCAACACTTACCTGAATATTACTTTTTTAAATTTCCAAGTACTTTCCGTTATCATAATAACCCTCATACTCATTTTTTAATTGTTAAAAAGGGGTTGGTCACTCCAAAAAGATGTGAAGAATAGCTACTGATTCTTTTTGCTTTTGAGCTACCTTGCAGTAGAGAACTGTTTACAGTAGTTATGGTACTTATGTATTTATGGATATGTATAATAATAATAATTATGCTTTGTGAAATGAAAGCATCTGCTAGTATATAAAAAGAAAAAAACTGAGAAAACAGAGTGGATGATGTGAGGAGAGTGAACACATGGGGGGGATATGCCCACATACTTGCAGAACTCACAGAGTGTTATTTGTTATTTTTCCTGCCTGTGTGCCAGTCATGCTCTAATGCAGCTTTCCTTTTTTGCTCTTACAGCTTGTTTCACTTACTGAGGAGGTAATGAGGGAAAGCAAAAAACAATTCCTTACACTTCTCTGAATCCTGGGAAAGGGGCTGGCAAACCGGTGGTTCTTTCTTTACAGCCTCTGGTAGAGTAAGACTGTAAGGCTGAAAGTTGAAGGAAACATCGCTTGTTTTGTCCTTTCTGTCAGCACCACTCCTGGTTGCTGTCAGAAGGGTAGATAGGCTTTTGGTCTGGCTGCATTGGGATGTTCTTATGTTTGACCTTCTTCCAGTCAGGACAGAGGATACCAGTAGCTATAGCTGGAGTACTTGGCAGTCCCTACCAAGCTTGGAATGTGGTGAAAAATAGCACTGCAGTTCTGGCCATTTCACATGCAGAGTGATTACACTGCCCCTCAAAGTACTGAAATGTTTGATTTGATCAATTTATCCTTCCTACCAAATGAGGGAATGATAAGGATAGGTAATTAGGAAGGAAGCTAGGTATTGTTCTTGGGTGTCTATAGAAAGATCTGGAATCTGGGACTGGAGGACTGGAAAGGCATCCTTGAATCATTATGTTGTATACATTCTTATTACTGGCAGCTACAGTGTATATTTGCTTCCATTCCAAAACTAATTAAATAGTTTGGCGTTTGGGGAAAAGATAAGTGGTTTGCAGGTCTGGAAATGCATATCGACTCGTAAAACACAACTCTTGCACATAGTACTGTAAAGTTGTTAGTTTTGGGGGTACCTAACTTGAAGAACTTTGAAGGTCCCAACCTGTTCCTCTCATGCTGGAAAAGCTTCCTTTTGGTAAAAGGATATTGATTGCCCATTGTTGTAGAGTAAGAGAAGCTCTTTTTATGTGAGTTAGATTTATTAGATAATCATATCCTGATCTAGGTCTTTAAATGTCTCTCATCACTATGCAAAACAAAGTTTGTAGGTAGAGGTAATATCTTTTATTAGGCTAGTAAATATAGTTGGAAAAATTAGACAAGCTTTCAGGCATGCAAACCTTTCTCATCACTGTAACATCTGAGGACCTAATCTGTGTTGGTTTTAGTTTGTTTTGATTTCTTCCTAAAATAGAATTTCAATTGCTTATCCAACACATATATTTGCTGCATAACTTGCTACCTGCTTGGTGTACAGCTGGTTTGGGGACGGGGAATGGGGCTGCATTCTCTGTCACAATTACATAGTTCAGAATGTATTTTCTTAATCCTTTATTATGTTCTTAAACTTGTGTGTTTTTTATTATAGTTTTTAAGTCATAACCTAAACTTTAAAAAAAACCCAATGCCTCTGTAGTGTTTTTTTATTTTCTTTGTTGAACTATCTTTTGAAGTCTGCTCACTTCAAAACTCACGCTCTTAAAATCTAAGCTCCCAAACCAAGTCTTGCAATTCGCACTTACTTCACTGAATCTGAAAGGAACATCCGATTTCCACAGCAAAATATCACTGCAATGATACACTGTATCTAGTCAAAAGGCAAAGTTTTCTGCTTCCCACTTTCAGAGGTCTACCAGTGAGAATACTGCCTACTTGATAACTACCAGCAGAGGGAGCACATTTATTTTGAATAAACTGAATGAACGTGGACTAAATAGCTCTACTTACTTTTCAGAAATTTTCCAATGCCAAAAATGTGTTCACACAACTGATTTGGAAAATGATAATTTAATGTAACTTTTAGAATCTAGATTTGTGACAGTATCAAATATTTGGTCGAAAGTGCCCGATTTCCTGTTATTCTTTACCGGTGTTACAAAGCAAGTGCCATGCTTTGTGCTCTCACTCTGGTTGTGAGCCTGGGTAATGACTGTTTTGAGTTCCACCCAGCCAACAGAGGTGCAGAGCATCTACACAAGCTGCAACTTGAAGCAGAATCTTGAAAATGCACTGTAACAATATATTCTGTTGGCTTCTAAGCAATATTGAAATCCACAGTAGTGACATCGTACTGTTGTTTTTACAATCTGTCTAACTTTTTCTTTGTTTTATTTTGTCCATTTTTTTGACTGTCTGTCACTATGCTGTTCCTTTCTTTAAAGCTTTGTTTGTGCTTTCAAGATGATGGTGGGCCTACACTCTGTTAATAAAAATTAGTTTATCTTTTGCTTCTCATTTCAGTGTTTACAAACTTACAACAGTGCTCCACATCTTTTCTCTGAAAATTCCTATGGAAGTGCTGATGTTTGTGAAATAGTAATTTTTAAAATTTTTCTGTGCAGAGAGACATCCTGTAGTGAAAATGAAGATAGCTCAGATGAAGAATTAACTGGTCCTTCCATGCAATCCCAGACTTTTGCTCAAGGTCCAGCTGAGGATACTGATGATGATGATGATGAAGATGATGAATTCATTGGGCCACCACTTCCGCCTGGGTTCAAGGATAGTGATGACGATAATGACAGTGATGATAGAGAGGAGGAAGATAACGTAAGTATTTTTTTCCTCATCAGTGTTTTAACGCTTTGAGTAGACTCTAGTTTCTAAGTGTGCTCTTTCCTTCATGATTGAATTTGCAGGTGGAGTATGACTGTTGTTTGAAATGCAGGTTTTTTGTGTTTTTCTAATGATTATTCAACAAATGCAAATAATTGTTTTCATTTAAAAATACCAGGGTTTAAAAAAAAAAAGTATGCATGTGAATATTAAGGGAAATTCATTATTGATTAGTATATATTGTTTACACTTTTTTGTTTTTATGTTATGAAGGAACTATATAAATAAATGTTTTAATATTTTATATGGTTTGTTTCTCAATGCATGTGTAGAATTTTTTACAAGAAAGAGGAGGTGGAGGTGGGCGTGAATCTAGGGAGAACAATTGTACCAAAACTATTCTGAGAAAATGAACTGTGGTAACTGAGGGCTTTTTTTTTGTTTCTTTTTGTTTGCTTTGTTGTGTTTTTTTTCTAAACCTAAATAAGTGCCAGGCTAGTTTGTTAGGGTGAGTATAGATTGTCTTTTCTATCTGTGTTAAAAGTAAGAAAACCCCTAAAAGCCTAACCTGGTTATCACAGATATTCAGTTGACAAATCTGTCTATGTAGTTGAAAGTCTAACAGTTTGATGTTCATTCTCCAAAACTTCCTGGATTGAATATTTTGTGGCAGTGGATTTTGTGTGATGGTTTCATTGTAGCAACAATGATAGAAGTCCTGTAAAAACAGCCTTACTTATGCTGTTTTGAACCTATTGGTAGCAGAAAAAAACCCTGTAATTCCTTTACACAAATATAAATCTAATCCTAAAAAACAAATTCTCAGGTGTCTCAAGGGTTTGTTGTCAATTCCTCTTCAGTTTTGACTAGGTGTTCAGTTTGTTCTTTTCCTATAAAAGCTCTTGCCTTGCATCTTGTGAACTTTAAAACATAGGTTTAGAATACTTACTTAAAATGAGTGAGAGGAACTTCTTAAGCAATGGTGTGACTGATTTTTAGAGTGAGCCTAACCTTGTATGATCACAATTTTTATTTTTTTTTTCCCTAGGGGATAAGTGATAGGAAAATCTGATGCCTTAGGGTTTTTTTATTACTTTGTCTGATCTGCTTGATTCACTGTTGCCTACAGATTTCTTTAATTATCAAACTGTACATTTTAGTACCGTATCTTCTGTGATCTCATCTGTACCTCACACATGACTTGTTCTGTTTTAGGGAACCAACAAATCCCAAACTTCCCTTGAGAATGTTGTAAACCTTAAGTTAACTTATGACTTACTATTGATCTGTATCAGGAATTTTCTTAACTTTTAGCTGTTACGACACTGTGAAGTGAGTCCATATTCTTGAGTTCATCATAGACTCAGCAGACTTCAGTTGCTGTGGATCATGCATATTGAAGTCACTACTTCTTTTCTGCCAACTTGCATCTGTTCTTCCATCTCAGGTCTGCTTGCTTGTACGTTTTCAACTCGTAGTAAAATCTTAAGATACAGTGCTTTATTGAGAAATTTTATCAAACATGAATCTCTCCAACAGATAATCAGAATAATAGTTCCTGTCTTGAAAAGTACTTACATTTATTGATGCTGAAGGAAATGTGTCGTCTTGGTCAGTTTTGTCTCTAAATACTTTTCAGCCTCTTTCCAGAGTGTTAGTGTGTACACAGATTGTGGTGAACCCAGGTGCTTGTAATTTCAGAAAAAACCCACAAGATATTACACAAAGAACAACAACTTCTGAAAGTACCTTTTAATAGCTGCTAACTTTGTGCATGTATGTACTAAGAAGTGGTGAATCTCAAAAAATGCATGCTTATTCTGCACAGGTGTTTTGTTGTTTCTTTGGGGTCTCACCAGAATGCCCTTCTAAATCACAGCTCTCCCTAGCTGTCCCCATTTCTCTTCCCAGAAAAAAACAATCTTTTGCTCTGCTGTCAGCACTTCTGAAACTTGTAACTGTTTTATAGCAATGAATAATTGAAGCCACACAGAGAGAAGCACCCAGGCTTGGGAATCAAGTCCTTCCAGGTATCTTTAATCTTTGGGAGAGTAAAAGTTCTTCAAGATGCTCAAAGGATTTCAGTGTATACGAAACTAAAATAAAACAGTGTAAACTTGAAATCATGTTATATCCTGGCAACTAAATCCAAGGTTAAGCCTCATGTCTGCTAATATTTCACTGAAGTATTACACATAACTTTGCATCAGAAATCTCTTGTAGCTGTTTATCCTGATCTTTTCTACACAGACTTTGCTTTGTTTCTATGTTATGTCCTTAATTATTTTCTTAAACAATGGAGATTTGAAAACACCAGAACTATAGGCAGCAGTTGTCTTAGGGGAAAAAAAAAAAAAAAAAGAGGAAGTTATATTTTTGTGAAATGCCTTTTTGTCAGGGTCTTAAGGAATTCAGTTGCTTTCTAAACTGAGTGTCTCCAGATTGTTCTTCCTAATAATTAAGGGAATTTTGCATGTGTTGGAGAATCATAGAGAATTTTGCTTAAAACCTGCACTTACCAGATTAGCTAAATAATGGTGGTTCATCTTATATGCCTAAATTTTTCTTGTAACTCATGCCAGAAATTAGTTGGGTTTTCTTTTGCAAATGAGAATTGATACAAGTAGCTTGTGGTTTGATCATAATTTTGTTGTAGGACTGAATTAAAATTTGGGAAAACTTTTCCCCTGGTTCCATGGTCCGTTAGAGATGTTACTTTCTGCGGTTAGTAAAAAGCATTATGTACTTAACCTGCTATAATTCCATTCTGAAGTAAAAAAAAAAAAACAAAACACACACCTTTCAATTAAGTGTGTTGGCAGTGGTCTTGCCTGCTTATACTGAATTAGCAAAATTATTCAGTTGTGTCAAAGAAAGTTTCACCATATTGGTCCAGGAAGCTATAATGGAAATACACTAATTATTCAACATCTGTTTTATTGCATCATCAGTGGAAGGCTGGCATCCTTTGACATCTCTTTTGTTGAGTAATTTTATTAGGTTCACATGAGCAAGAGTCCTATACATACTACTGTTCCAGTTTATGGTATAATCATCTCTTTCATCTCAGTAGTGAGTGCTATATGGATTCTTAAATGTAATCATGTTCAAAGTACAGATCAGTGCAAAGTTGTAGCAGACTCCATTTATTCATATTTATGGAATAAATGAGGTCTTGTAGGAGAAAGTAACTGCTGAGCACTCATTTACATAGCGTAGCATTGTGGGAGAACAGAATTATTTAATAATTGAGAAATTGCAGAAAGATGCATAACATCTCTTAAGTGGTAAAACTGTTTGTATTTTTGGAGGCAATACATATGTTCCACAGAACAGGGTAAAGCTTTTAGTAGTAGAGGTAGCTTACAAAGAGAAGAGGGGGTTATTGGCAGCATAATAGAAAATATCTCTTTCTTTTTAATCCCTCTGTGCTATAGTGTGCTGTGTACCTATTTTCTGTTGTCCTCTGTCAAAGATGGCTGCACCTTAGTAGGGCTTTCTGCATTGAAATGTCTAAAATGCAGTCTATTATGCATGTAAATAATTTTGGAAAAAACAACTGGATTGTTACTTTAACTTGGTGTCTGTCATATGCCAATGACATACGGATTTTTTTTGTTAAATTTTTATGTAATTGCTTGTATGCCTGTCAGATTTATGGATTCTGAGCACTGAATAGAATTTATTTTCATTATCTCTTTCCAAAGAGCAGCAGG